TTCGCTACAAAAGCTCCTGGAGTTGACGAGTTTAAGTGTGTGTATCTGTCTTAAGTTTATTTAGGGCTGAAATAAAACGTGTTATACCTGTCTTGTAGCTGTCTCAAGTTTATTTACAATTGAAATCAAATGTGTTATACCTATAGTCAGGGGCGTAGCGAGGGGGGGGGGGCGGGGGGTGCGGACCGCACCGGGTGACACCATTTAGGGGGGTGACACCAAGGAAAAAAATAGCAAAATATATAGAGAAAAACTCGAGGGGGGGGGTGCAAATCGAAATTTTGAGGGGGGGGGGTGCAAATCGAAAACTTGAGGGGGGGGGGGTGCAAATCGAAAGTTTGAGGGGGGGGGGGTGCAAATCGAAAACTTGAGGGGGGTGCAAATCGAAAATTTGAGGGGGGGTGCAAATCGAAAATTTGAAAGTTTGTCCCTGGGAAGGGTCTCTATGCCTCTGGGGGGGGGGGGGGGGTGACACCATTAAGTGCCGCACCGGGTGACACCCGACCTCGCTACGCCACTGCCTATAGTGTAACTGTCTCAAGTTTATTTAGAATTGAAATCAAACGTGTCATACCTATCGTATACCTGAAGGGTTGTGACGTAGTCAGTCCTTGAGAGCTAGTGGCAGTGACGCAGACGACAGAGGTGCCGGGTGGAAGCTCTAGAGTCGTGGGGCCGAAGATCCTGTTTTGTATACTTTTGATGGGCGTCACTGGTGAAAACATTACTAGTGTGAGTCTTAATAGGAGTATTACAAATATGAATAAAAAATACGAATAAACATGATATTTTGGCTATAGGGTCTCGTCAAGCTGACGTAAAATAACAACAATATATGCAATTATAACCAGTGGCGTAGCGAGGTCGGGTGTAACCCGGTGCGGCACTTAATGGTGTCACCCCCCCGGAGGCGTTGCGACCCTTCCCGGGGACAAACTTTCGATTTGCACCCCCCCCCCTCAAGTTTTCGATTTGCACCCCCCCCCCCCTCAAGTTTTTCTCTATATATTTTGCTATTTTTTGCCTTGGTGTCACCCCCCTAAATGGTGTCACCCGGTGCGATCCGCACCCCCCGCCCCCCTCTCGCTACGCCCCTGATTATAACAATAATTTCAAACATTTTTACATGGGTCGGCGTGCTTTGAAAGTTCAACCAGCTCTGATGGGTACCTAGCACATATTAGGGAAATCAAAGGTGGCTGGGCATAGCGCTGACCATACATCCCTTCATATGACCAGTTAATGAGATATGAATTCCACTTCATCTGTCGCCAGGTCTAAAATAGGAACTTTACTTTTTAAACAAAAATACAATTATTTTTGTAAACTTCCAAGATGGTATCAATGCAGTGGGCCTCAGCGTTAGTCTCACTGTTACAACAGTGGGCCTCAGCGTTAGTCTCACTGTTACAACAGTGGGCCTCAGCGTTAGTCTCACTGTTACAACAGTGGGCCTCAGCGTTAGTCTCACTGTTACAACAGTGGGCCTCAGCGTTAGTCTCACTGTTACAACAGTGGGCCTCAGCGTTAGTATCACTGTTACATCAGATCACGTGAAGGGACGAGATCACGTGGTACTCACGTGACTGACAGCCCCCGTCCACCGAGGCTGACACGTGAAAGCTGTCAGCCAAAAACTGTCTGGCCGAGCTGCTGTCACACGCTTGACTGACCCTCAGGTACAGCTGCCCGCCCCCTCCCGTGTAGTGGCTCACCACTACCTCAGCCCTGTCTTGTGGAAAGAGAACTCACATCAACAACACACATCAACTAAACTTCTATCATGTTGTCCTTCTTACAAGATGAGCACTACATAATGATATGCAAGTCCAATTTATGCACGTTTTTGAAGAAAATTAACAAAACTAAAGTTAAGTATATAACTAATTGATTATTTAAATTAAAATACTTCTAAAACTGTGTTTGGGGGAAAAGATAACAATAAAGACATCCGAATAACATAGATTAAGTTTCTTCAGTTCTTCCTACAGATTAGATTAAGTGCCATTATTAAATCTCTGAATCTCATAGATTGAAATTTAAAATAATACAAAGATCTTTATTTAACTTTTGTTAGAGTGAATTGAAATAAAATGTAATAATACACATCGAACTTTGACTACAATAAAATAGCATGTAAAATCCCGTACTTGAACTACTGTAATAAAATAACATGTAAAACTAAATATTGTACTTAACTACTGTAATATAATAACATGTAAAACTAGATATCGTACTTGAACTACTATTGAAGTAACATTCTGCTGGTACCATCCCCATCCATCTACCATCCACCATGATGGATAGGTTAAGTTTGGTTGATGCACCTCCCGTCTGTACAGGTTCGGTCGTCTGCTCGTATACTGAGGTCGGGGTCATCTCATGGTCCCGGCTTGCCCCCTCGTCCAGAAGATGGAGCACCCCACACCAGCAGCCGTCTGTCCACTCCCTCCTGCACGCGCTTCTGACCTCAGACAAACAGTCATCAGGCTCTTCGGTGCCTGGCCTTGACCCCGTGTTGACCGTCACCGTTCCTGTGGCTGTGAGTGGGTGAGCCAGTGTCTGCGTTGTGTCGTTCAGATCGTAGTGCAGCACGGGGAGGGAGCTGGTGTTGACCCGGGGGGTGGTGGAGAGGGGGACGAGCAGTTCTAGAACATCAGGGTCGGCTGACGTGGTGGCGTTCTGCTGCAGTATGTGTGTGTGGGGGTAGTCCTGGTCAAATAAATCATGAGAGGGGGGGGGGTAAGTCCTGGTCAAACAAATCATGGGGGGGGTAAGTCCTGGTCAAAGAAATCATACAGCTGCAGTATGTGTGTGTGGGGGTAGTCCTGGTCAAATAAATCATGGGGGTGGGGGGGGGGGTAAGTCCTGGTCAAATAAATCATGGGGTGGTAAGTCCTGGTCAAATAAATCATTCAGCTGCAGTATGTGTGTGTGGGGGTAGTCCTGGTCAAATAAATCATGGGGGGGGGGTAGTCCTGGTCAAACAAATTATACAGCTCCACTATGTGAGGGGGGGGTAAAGTTCTGGTCAAGCAAATCACACAGCTGCACTTTGTGTATGTGTGTGTGTGGGGGGGGGGGGGTAAGTCCTGGACTACTCATACTTTGGAAGAATTTTATTAAATACCTGCATATTCCTGTTGCGGATATAATGTCTTTACTTTAATCTAACAAAATCTTAAATTATAGCGTTAAGGTTATGTATATTGTTAGACTAAGCTACGGGTATGTGGACCAAGGCAATGTTAGGGTATGGCAAGGTAGAATAATATTACGAGGTTATATTTACTACATTGACGAGGTAGATACATTTGAAATAAAAGGGTAGTTTGTTTTAATTAAAAGAATTACGACTTAAAAATTTATTTTATTTTATTTTAAATATAAATGCCTTTGAAAACTAAGTAGGCCTATATATTTCGTCACACTACAATTAGATGTGCCAAATTCAAATGACGGCACAACAGTGTCAACACAGGCTGACCTTGCATCCGCCCACCTGACTGTCCCACTCACACCATAGGAGTGCCAGGGCTGTAGCACTGCTCACACTTTCTGTCTGCACCCTGACCTTGACCTCATCGTCAGGATAAAACTCCGCTACCATCCGTGGTGGTGAGGGCTCTGTGTGAGGGATAAACGGATCATAAGGTGGGGTGGGTTGTGAGAGATAAACGTATCATAAAGTGTGAGGGGGGGAGGCTGTGTGAGGGATAAACGTACCATAAGGTGTGGGGGTGGGCTATGTGAGAGATAAACGTATCATAAAGTGGGGGAGGGGGGTGGGCTGTTTGAGGGTTTAACGTATCATAAGGGGGGGTTTAGCAATTTTTTTAGGGAGGGGGGTGTGTGAGGGTTAAATGTATTATAAGGTGTGTGTGTGGGGGGGGGGGGTGTACCCCAAATGGCTTGGATTTAACGAATAGAAATATTGGGGGTGTGGGTTATAACGTATAACGAATCACAAAGTTTAAAGAATGGGGGTGGGTGGGTGGTGGGTAGCAGTATACGACACAAACGACTAACAAACCATAATGGGTTAGGACTATGCTAATGTGTACACACAAAAATGTTTTAAAGCTTTAACTACTGTTTTTTGTTTGTAATATAACGAACGGGCAACCATGGAATAATTTGCATAAAAAGGCTATTTTTCCTTATATAGTTTTCTAGCTTTCATATAAGATACGAATACAATAAAAAAAACATGTCCGTAGTTACGGAACTGCTAACAGTCCATGGGGACTAAAGAGGCTGGTGTCAGGGGCGTAGTAATCCATTCCGGCGCCCTAGGCGAACTACTAATCATTTTCCAATAACAGTTTTTATTTAGGTGTCTCACAGTCGATGTACAAAACAGATACAATATTTTATTTCCTACTCTTTATAATTCAGTGATGCAGCATAGAATGAACTTTTTTTTACTACGTTTCACGCCCCCTTAGGGTCGGTGCCCGGGTTGGCCGCCCCACCCGCCATTCCGTAGTACGCCTCTCAATGGTTTATTAATTTTTGGAGCAATCAATGTGTATATTATAGGGTTAAACTCATAGTTGTTTTTACCCCTTTCAGCAGGGATCCGAACCTCGGTGTAGTTTTCTGATTGACCAACTTCATTCACCGACCAGATCTTGATCGTCAGCTCGTCGTCTCTCGCTTTCTTCAAGTAGATGGCGTTGTGGGTGTGGTTGTTATAATATTCTGTACTTCCGTTGGCCTTAACCTCCAGCTTGTAAGACACGTCACTTCCGCCTGCAGCTGATCGCGGAATTTCCTAGGAAAAAAAAACGGCTGGTTCTATAAATACATTACAAAGGTGACTGCGATTTCTACATTAACTATGGTGCTAGTTTAAAACAAAAACAATGAAATAAATAGTTGCTATTTATGTTGTAGGCCTACCTCCCAAAGAACGTATACTGTTTCAAGTTCTGCTGCGTCGTTTTCCAGAGTACTGGAGTAGGTGATGTCATTGTAGACAGGCGGATGGACTGGAACTTTTAGAAAATAAATAAAAAACATTTTAAAAGATTAATTAAATAAAACCCTGGTAAGTAAACGATGTATCGTGGATGGTTACATGTATGAGAGAAATGCTCAATTTGTGAAGCAGCTTTGGTCTCTCAAATAAAAATTGCTCGAGAGATTTTTTTTTTACATTAGCTGAAGAGGTTTAAACCCTCAGTAATAGTACCCCATCATCACGGTGAATCTAAATGGGCAGCCTTAGCTAACTGGAACCATTGCTGGCACCCAGATTCCATTATTAACTTTATCATAACGACCATACATATAGTATCTAAACTATGACAGTACAATCGTTCAGTGAATCACTGACTAACAGATTTGTATATCTCGCTATTTTATAGTTGATAGATATAAATAATAGATTTTTACAATCTTTCTGCATTAGTTATAAATACTGTTTTATAAACAATACACCTTTTTTCACTGCGAAGTCAGGAGCCCCGAGACAACGCTTGTACAGTGACAGTATTCATTTGACTAAAATTGGAAGCAGCATTCTTGCTAAAAATATAAAGTATCCCCAAAGAGCCGTCAGCTTAACAGATAAAGACCATGTGCAACTTTCAAACGTAAAAGGTACAACGTCTGATTTGGTTTCGACTGTTGATTTGCTTCCAACAATATCTTCAGATCAATTGAACTCTAGCCCAGGCTTACATCACTTAATGGGCTTTAGCCCTTTGTTGCTTCATCAAGCTCTAATGTTGTCGCTTAAGCGCCTTCCTGGAACCTAACTTTTTTCACTTACTATTTACTAGTTTAGCTCACTGTACTATTTTAATTATAGTGAAGGCAGTGTGAAGAGCAGCGAGTGTTTGTTTATTGGATGACAAAGCGTGTAATTGTAAGACAATTATATTGATTCTGTTTAATTAGTTCATTATATTGATTTTTGTTTATAACATCTCTTATTCATTGATATTTTATTATCTTTATGCATTGTCTATTTTCATCATCCTGGCCCTCACAAAGTGGGCTAAAATTGGGTCATTTAAATATTTTCCACATATTTAATAAACACCATGAAGTTCTAAAAATTTTAAACAATTCCAACAATCCTTTCCATATCTTTGGTTTCTCTGAAACTCGATTACAATCTTTTATAAATGATGTTGAGATATCCGTCTCTGATTATAACCTAATACGCCGAGACCCATCCTTACACAAAGAAACTGGCCTTTGTGTCTATGTCCACTCCTCAATTCGTTTCAAGTACAGGATGGATCTGTCAACGGACAATATAGAATGTATTTGGATTGAACTCGAAAAAAGCAAACACCATCCGGCAATTTTAATTTGCTTCCTTTATAGAAATCCATGTGAAAACATGGATTGGTATGATCGTTTTTGCTCCATGATGGATACCGTTTTATCTACTAACAATGAATATATCATATTGGGAGATTTTAATATAAATTTATTAAAACCTCAAGGATATTGGCAAGATATTATTGATTCTTTGAATCTAAAACAATTTGTGCACACGGCTACCAGGGTAAATGATAAATCTAGTACAATAATTGACCACATATACGCATCACCTGACTGCAACCTAATAGAGGTCTGTGTCCCCTCTTGTGGTGTTAGTGATCACTTCCCTGTTTGTTGTACTTTTTCGACAAAAAGATTATGTGTACCTTCGCGGCAACACATAACTATAAGTTATCGCTCTTTTAGAAAATTTAATGAAAATCTTTTTCTTTCGGATTTATTGGCTGCCCCCTTCTGCAATGTATACAATTATAATTGTCCCGATCTTGCCATTTCTGAATGGCTGCGTATTTTCTATACTATATATGATAAACATATTCCTAAAATCTCTAAAAGAGTTAAGACTACATACAAACCTTCTTGGTTTAACAACAATATCGAATCTGCAATTAATAAAAGAGACTGGCTTAAACGTTATGGAACTTCTGAGGACTTTTGTAGGCAGCGAAATTATGTCAAACTGCTCGTGCGTAGGTCGAAGAAAGAGTATTTTAATAAGCTGCTGTCAGGCAAACCTAATTCCAAATCTATCTGGACTGCTATAAATCAAATAATTAGAAAAAAACGCACATGTAATACAGCTGGACATTGCCAGATATCTGCTGATGACTTTAACAATCATTTTATATCATCTGTAGCGCTCAACACAGATGCTGATTACACAATCAGTGAGGAGCTTAAAATTTTTTGTAATTCTGCTCACCGTGGTAGGACAGAGCTGATCATTCCGCTTCTCACTGTTCATGAAGTTTATGTTAGCCTAAGATCTCTTAAACCGTCTTCAACAACTTCGTTTGATGATATTTCTAATAATGTATTGAAGATTTCAGCTCCAATAATTTCCGAAGTTTTAACCTATGTCTATAACCTCTGTATTGCCAAGCATTATTACCCGACACATTTTAAGCATGCTAAGGTTATACCACTACACAAAAAAGGTAACATCCAAGATGCTAATAACTACAGGCCAATTTCTATACTTTCTTCCCTCTCCAAGCCACTAGAAATACATATAAACAAATGCATTTCATATTGTAATAGATTGAAATAATTGTGAGGTCAAGGGAACTCACTCTTCTGTATTAGTTATATTTATAATATTGTTATCTTGAGTGATGTCCCTTGTGTACTTCCTTCCGTCCTCTCTGTGTGTTACCATCGTGATGTAGTTAGACCCAATAAACGTGTTATATACAACCACAGGCTTCTGTCGTCAATCTATTATAACTGGCGACGAAGGATAAACATCTACTAGAAAGAGCACCTACTTACGCAAAAAAGAGGTTTGCTAGAGCTTATTAGCTAATTATTTCTAGAATTATGGCGCTGTATGGCCAAATAAAAGAATTTGATGCGAATGATGAAATCATTCAAGATTACCTAGAGAGGTTAAGCTTTTACCTAGAAGCAAACAACGTGACGATAGAAGCCAAAAAGAGAGCTGTTTTGTTAACAGTCATAGGGCCTCAACAATTTAGGCTACTAAAAGACTTATGCGCACCAGCTAGTCTAACTACCAAGAGCTTTAACGAGCTGAGCAAATTGCTAACAGACCACCATGCGCCTACCCCATCAAAGTTTTTATGTAGAGCTAGATTTGACAGTAGGACTCGTCAACCAAACGAGTCAATATCAGAATATGTTGCTGCTTTACGTCATTTAAGTAGATTTTGTGAATTCGGCGATACGCTGTCTGACAGATTATGTGAAAAGTTTGTGACAGGTGTAAACAGCCCTGATATTCAAAGAAAGTTGCTGCTCGAGTCAGATCTAAAATTGGAAAAAGCAATACAACTTGCAATGTCATCCCAGCAGTCATCAGATGCGGCGAGATCTTTAGCACCTTCAGAGATCCATGCAGTAAACAGCAGGTTAGTCAATAAACATCAACCCCATCAGAGCATTCCAACTTATGCTAAACAGCCTGCTCGTTCAAATCCTAGATCTAAATCTAGTAATAATTATCAAAAATGTCATCGATGCAAAGGTCCCCATGCATCTCATCGGTGCAAGTTCAAGTCTGCAACTTGTTATAAGTGCAGTAAGCAAGGTCACATTGCCAAGGCCTGCTTTGCAAAGTCTTCGTCTGTTGCTAAATCTAGCCAGTCAAGACAGTACCGCAACCAAAGGCAGCACTATGTTAACTCTCACCAAGACTACCTAACCCAACCAATGAACCACTCTACCTGTGAAAATGCTCAAACTGATTCGCAGCCGGATTTCAACCTATTCTCTGTGAAATCAATAAGTCATGCTCCCATCAATGTACCAATTTATATCAACGGTAAGAGCATCAGCTTCCAACTTGACACTGGAGCATCTCTAACAGTCATAACAAAGAAAGATTTTGACGCTGTCACAGGAGAATCAGTGCCTCTACAGCCGTGTCACAAGTGTCTAACAACATACACTGGTGACAATGTTCCGGTAATAGGAGAGTGTATGGTTCATGTAAGTTATAATGGTCAAAGTGTTAAACTTCCTCTTCTTGTGGTTGAAGGAAATGGACCGCCATTACTAGGTAGGAACTGGTTAAGTGATCTTAAGTTAAATTGGGAGAGTATTTGTTCATTGAAGAATGTAAAAGAATCTAGTCTTACTTCACTAGATAAAGTTATATCTGAAAATAAATGTGTTTTTGGTAATTCAGGTTTACTAAATGATAGAACAGTGAAGTTAAGCATTAAAGATACAAATCCAAGATACTGCAAAGCTAGAGTTCCACCTTATGCAATGAGGAATAAAATTGAAAATGAGCTAAGCAGATTAGAATCTAATGGCATTATAAAGAAGGTAGACTATTCCGATTGGGCGACACCCATTGTGCCAGTGTTAAAGAAGGATGGTTCTATAAGAATTTGTGGAGACTACAAAACTACACTGAATAAGCAAATAGAGCTAAATAGGTACCCTATACCTAACATTGAGGAAATTTCTTTGAATTTGGCAGGAGGAGACAAATTCACTGAATTAGACTTTAGTCATGCTTACACTCAACTAGAACTGCATCCAGATTCAAAAGTCTATACGACTATAAACACACATAAAGGACTCTACCAATATGAAAGACTATGTTTTGGCATATCATCTAGCCCTGGAATTTTCCAAGCTGTCATGGACAGTATTTTTAAGGACATTCCAAATGTTTGCGTTTACTTTGACAATGTGTACATAACTGGTAAGAATGACACTGAACATCTTAAAACACTTGATAAAGTATTAAAAATTGTTGGTGAAAAAGGTTTAAAGATAAACAAAGATAAATGTCAATTCATGTTGACAGAAATTAGTTTTCTTGGTTATGTATTGAGCAAACAAGGCATCAGACCTCAACCTGAGAAAACAAAAGCCATTAAAGAAGCACCCAAACCTGAAAATACCCAACAACTAAGAGCTTTTTTGGGCTTGATAAATTACTATGCAAAGTTCATAGGAAATCTGTCTGGTAAACTATCACCACTGTACAAGCTGCTACAGA